TCCCCTGCTGAACACAGAACCATAGAAACATTTGCAACGTTGTAACAATAGAGGCAAATATTTCTGGCCAGCAGAAGTTGTGATAGTGGGAGGGCGAGGGCTAGCGAGGAGTCATGAGGTTCCACAAATAGGTGCATGACCCACAGGGAATTAAAAGGAAAACAAACACAGACATTAACCTCTTGTAAATGCTTTGTCCATCTCCAGCCCTGAATGTGCAGCAATAATTATCACATTAATGACATTTCGTTTATAAGCACTCATGAATAGCTGGAAACCACAAAGTCTCTTTAAAAAAAAAAAAAAAAAAAAAAAAAAAAAAAAAAAATCCCAGATCATGGGCACTCCCCATAAAGCCAAAACTGCCCCTTTGTTATAATGCTAATATATATATTATATTTCTTTAAAACAAAAGGGTTGAATACAAAACTATATTTTTTACATTTTGATAAAAATTTGAAATATTAACATCTTGAGTGCTAGTGATTTGGTCCTCTCAGGGTTAGAAACAAAACAAGTCACTTATTGGACCTCTTTCCTGGACTTTAACTGCTTCTATAAACAGCCAAATGGACTGCAAACCTCAAGGGGGCATTTTGAGGGTTAAATACAAAAAAAGCAGTTTTCGTAACCTTTTTCAACAAGAGAGCTGTGAAATGGACATGTTTCAAGGAATACAGAAAGTGAAAGTAACTGCACAGAAAAAAAAACAACAACACACAAGACTCTTTAGGAAACCGGTGAAATAAAATAAATTATTAATGTAATATTTATAAGAACCAAATCCAGTCACTGATCCCACTGGATGGAAATAACCAAAACAACATACTATGCCCACTGACACAGTAACAAAACCCACAATACAGACAGCAGACAGGATCTGGGAGATAAAACCAGAACAGGAATGGCTCACAGCTTTACCTGGATGTTCAGAAGATCCTGTGCCCAATAGCACTACCCAGACTGCCAGCAAGAACAGCTGCAAGGGGCACCACCTGCACCCCATCACCACAGTAAGCAACAGCCACAATAGGAAACACCCAGTGCCACCTGAAAATTAAACTGCACACTCACAGCCACACTCCCTCCTCTAACTCTGCTCTTACCCTGCTTTCCTATTGGCTGACCTGCCTGCCAGTAAAATGCTTATCTGTTTTCTCATTGGCTAGGAGAGGTCATCATCAGTTGCTAAGAGCTTATTTGGAATTCTGCTAGGAAGGATTTACATGGCTCAGCTCCAGAAGGAGGCGGGGCTAATGTTTATATAAAGTATCAAGGTTTATTAGATGTAAGTGTTGCTACGTTCTATTGGATACTTCTTACTTTATTGTTCTTAGTAGCCAGTTCTGACCGTGTCAAGGAATACAAATTTATGGTTTATTTTACATTTGTTGCAGTCATTCTAGACCAGTGATGACGAACCTTTTTGAGCCCGAATGCCCAAACCGCAATACATGCCAACTTTTTTCCTCAAAGTGCCAACACAGCAATTAAACCTTAATACTGAGGTTTAAGTTTAGAAAAAACAACTCATACAGTTGTCCGAACCAATTCTCCTCTTCTCTCATCCCAGCATATCCCCCTCTACGCCCAGCATCTCTTCCTCCTCCTCCTCTCCCCTTCTCCCCCCAGCATCTCTTCCTCCTCCTCCTCTCCCCTTCTCCCCCATCTTCTTCTCCTCCTCTTCTCCCCCCAGCATCTCCTCCTCTCCCCCCAGCATCCCCCTCTCCTCTACCCCAAATTTTCCTCCTCCTCTCCCCCAGATTCTCCTCCTCCTCTCCCCCAGATTCTCCTCTTCCTCTCCCCTTCTCCCCTCAGTATCTCCCCCCTCTCTCCTTCTCCCCCAACATCTCCTCCTTCTCCTGTCTCCCAGATTCTCCTCTTCCTCTCCCTTTCTCCCCCCGGCATCTCCTCCTCCTCTTCTCCAGATCCTCCTCTTCCTCTTCCCTAGATTCTCCTCCTCCTCTCCCCCAGATTCACCTCTTCCTCTCCCCTTCTACCCCCAGCATCTCCTCCTCCTCTCCCCCAGGTTATCCTCCTCCTCTCCCCCAGATTCTGCACCTTCTCTCCCTGCAACATATCCTTTTCTCTCCCCGCAGCATCTCCTCTTCTCTCCCCCAGATTTTCCTCTTCTCTCCCCTCAGCATCTTCCCTTCACTACCCCAGCATACCCCCTCCCCCAGTATATCCCACTCTCCCTCCCAGCACATAAATGTTAAAAAAAAATTTGTGCGGGTGGGGGTTTGAATTCCACCCAGGCTCCCTACCTGGTGGATAAGATTCCTTTCCGCTGCTGACTTACCTGCTCTTCCAGCACTGCTCCCTCTGCTGATGCTGCCAGGAAACATGAAATGATGTCAATCAGATGGCGACGTAATTTACGGTCTCCAGGCGGCATCAGCGTAGGGAGCAGTACTGGAACAGCACATAAGTCAGTGCTCCCTCGCAGCCCTTCATACCACCCACCCACCAGTGCCATCTTAACAACATTATGGGACCACGGGCAAAGCAGTGCACTGGGGCCCTGCCTACACAACTCACATGAATAAAAAATTAAATCATAGATAAAATTAGACTTATATGTATTAGTATCTCCAAATGCAATACATACATAAAATACATACACACAGACTGCTGAACACTCACAAACCCACACACTGACAGACACACAGACTGCTGAATACACACACAGTCCGCTGAATACATACACACATCCGCTGCATACATGCTCACAGTCTGCTGAATACACACACACAAACACAAATGCAGACTGCTGAATCCATACAGACTGCTGAATACACACACTGCTGAATACACAGACAGACTGCTGTTTACACACACACAGAATGCTGAGTACACCCAGACAGACTGCTGAATACACACAGACTGCTGAATACATACACACAGTCTGCTGAATACATACACACAAACACACACATACTGCATTGAGGGGTGCAGTGTATGTGTTTGTGTGTACGGGTGCGGAATGTGTGCGTGTGGAGAGCTGTGTGTGAGGGATGCTGTGTCTGTGTGTATGAGTAGTGCTGTGTGTGAGAGGGGTGCTGTGTGTGAGAGTGGGGTGCTGTGTGTGAGAGAGGTGCTGTGTGTGAGAGAGTGGTGCTGTGTGTGGGGGGAGGTGCTGTGTGTGTGAGGGGGTGCTGTGTGTGGGGGAAGGTGCTGTGTGTGTGAAAAGGGTGGTGTGTGTGTGAGGGGTGCTGTGTATGTGTGGGGGGCTGTGTGTGGGGGGCTGAGTGTGTGAGAGGGGTGCTGTGTGTGTGTGGTGCTGTGTGTGTGGGGGGGAGGTGCTGTGTGTTTGAGAGGGGTGCTTTGTGTGTGGGGGGAGGTGTGTGTGTGTGGGGGGGTGCTGTGTGTGTATGTGGGGGTGCTGCAGGTAGCAAATGTATTATTAAAATCTTTATCCCCCCCTTCTTCTTACCTTGCTCCACACAGCCTGCTCGCGGGAGGACAGAAGAGGTGCTTCCCAGATCCCTCCCCCTGCTTCCGGGTCCTCCTGATACAAAAGCAGAGTAGGCGCCTGCTGTTTTGGGCAGGCAGGTGCCTACTCTGCATTGCTGCTGACCGGCGCCAGTGGCCCCCTCCCCCGACGACCCTGACAACCACAGAGAGGGCCCGGCGTGCCACTTGTGGCACGCGTGCCATAAGTTCGCCATCACTGTTCTAGATTAAAGTTAGAATTTTTCATTTTGCTGCATACATTACAGTATATAAAAAAATAAAAATAAAATAAACCTCAATCATTGGTCTTTCAATGGGTTGTCATGGGGTTTATTTACTTTATAAAGATTTATTCAGCATCGTGAGAAAGATGGAAAATTGCTGTTTTTAAAACAAAAGACCTAGATACCGTTTTTAAAAAAAACAAAAAACCACAGAATACTTAATAATATAATGGCATTCGCTTGTTGATCAAAGGAGAAATCTGACCTATCTTCTTTTTGTGAGAAATGGAAATTGCTTCAAATTGTTTATCAACTTCTTTTGGGCCAACAGCAGAAAATGATGTGTGAAAGGTTGGAATATTGATAGAGTTGGGTCTTTTTGACCACCCTAGATTATTTACTGTTAATGTGTAATTGTAAAGTTTCCAAATCATAAACATTCTTCACTTCCAATATGTTTCGAGCAGTAATTTGTGTTATAGGAAGGAAACTAAATATTTGAACTGAATAGAAAGAAACACACAGAGACACTTAAAGTGGCACTGTCACCATTTGGGGACTTTGTTGCTGGTGGTCCTGTGGTCTAGATGGGGGGGGGGGTTTGCAAGTAAACCTGAACTTGTCACTTATGGATGCCGCCATCTTGATCTGGCAGGGTTCTATTCTGCGCTGAAGTTACTACTGTACTTTCGCACATGAACGAGAGTACAGTATAGAGGTCTATGGAGAATCCCACGAGACCGAGGGATCCTTTACAGACACAGCTAATTCCCTGCAGCCGAAACTGATGATGGTAGCCAGTAGATGCCAAATCCAATCCCCCCATTTATCTAGCCAGACAAATGATCAAAACCCCCTTTTTGCCAGATTCAAAGGCAGGAAAATCATTAGGGGGGAGGAAACAGCACCTACTTGCGGTACTTGGAGAATTTTTAGCATTTGGGAGAATTACCTCACAGACAGCAGCATTTCTAAGTGCCTGGGCAAAAATCGCCACGAGGCAGTCTGGAACCAATAAAAAATTGGTGCTACCACGTAAGCACCAATGCTTGGCTGGCATTGCCAAAGTATAACGGTATAGCCCCTTGAGCTGCGCTCACAGTAGGTAAAGGGGCAAACTACTGACAAGTACACATACACATACTGACAAGGGTTTATTAAGTGTCCCTTGTTTGGTTATTTTTGACTGACTTTTACAATTTTCTTTATTCTTCCACAGCTATTGGTTTTCAAGGTTTAATTACTAATCCAGAAATGTGGAAAATCTACCATGAAATTACAGACAGACCAAAAAACACAAATCACAAACATTATCTGACACAGCTATTTTTGCAGCTAAAAGATTCTTGTCTAAAATGTGCAGTTGTGGTCTAGTAAACAAACCCATTAAAGAGCTGCAAAATGTAAGCCACAATACTAACCCAAATATTTGCATTTCCCTTGTCAATTCTTTGTAATGCACTAGCCAAAAATAGTCAAACCACCGTGGTGTTTATTCAACGAAAACCTGAATTGAAAACTGAATTGCAAAAAATAGGCAAATGTAGCTGATTTGGGAAAATTTCCCAAGTTACCTGTTGTAATAGTTTATCTATGTTAGCATTAATTACGCAATTCATTTTTCAGTTCACTTTAATGTGATATTTAGTGAATAAACTCCTTATATTTATATCTTATGATAGTGCTGTTATTTCAGTGAAATTTCCATAGATTATAGTTTCCTGCTTTACAGAGATTCTCTCTTCTTAAAAATACTATAATTAAAGATTTGCTTCAAGTACTGCACTGTTATGACCCTTCCTATTTCACTGCTCTCAAGCCATAAGCCAGCCAACAGATGGAAACAACTGATAGATTCGCTGTTCCTCCAGAGGTACCAATCCAAAGTTTAGATTTTTTGCTGTGATTTAGACATTCTCGTACCTTGCATTAGTAGTTTTTTTTTTTTTTAAATACACGTGGAATCATAAAGTTTTATAATTTGTGCCAAGTGCCACTTCTGCCACTTCTAGCTCCCTAACACTTCAACTAACAAGTATACAGGATACATGTATATGACTTCAAGCACCATAACCACTGCATGCAACCTGCCAGCCTACTAACCCTATCATTCTCATTTGAGCTTAGATGGATTTGCACTGAATTATGGGTAAGTTTAATTTCCACGTGATCGGTGCTGGGGGAGCAGAGTATGGGTGGCAGAGAGAGTCCCAGCTATTCACTGAGTGAGATGGATTTTTGTAAATAACAGTCAAAACAATAAACCCCACATGCTAGCTTCGAAGTGTCCTATTTACATCTAAGAAACGTATCAAGGTGCAATTTAAACAAATGATCATAAAATAAATAGGTGGTGCTTTAGACAGTGTTTTGATTTTAGAAGCTCTGCCAATTCACTGCATGGAATGTTGTTTTTATGGTAGGTCATGAAAAGGTTCTATATTTCTCGTAAACTCCAGGTCAGCTCAATTAAAAGTGTAAGAAGTCATAAAGAAATGGATTGACGCAGAGAGCTTTATTGTTTTGTAGAAGTGTATGTAGGAACCGCACTCAATCCCAAAGCAGCCACCCGGTGCTCCGGAGCAGGAGCTTTATTGTTGTCATTGCCTTTTGTTGACTCTTGTTCATCACAATAGTGACTGCAGTAAGAAATGAAAGGCCTGGCCAATAGTTATCAGGACGCCTGTGAGGTGAAAACTTGGGCACTTTTTCATAATCTCACCATTAACCCTTTATGGATCAAACATTAAAAGTTAGATCTTAATCTATTATAGAAATGGCCTTATACTACCATATCCTGCATATTTGCATGGTTAGCAGTGTAATTGGTAATCATTATATTTGGTATGAAATAATTCAAGGCCAGGTTGTTACAATAGCATAGACTGTAATTCGTTTTTAAAATGTCAAAGTAACCAAGTGTGTTCTGCGGTAACGAGATTAATATCAGACATCATTTGCTTCTTTACAACTCCTGAAGAGGTCTGGCCACTTTCAGACTCTACTTCCTATACAATGTTCTTTTTTATAATTAACAGAATATCTTAATTACATAATGCTCATCATTCTTTACTATATTAATTGTAAAATAAAGGCGTCAGTGGCACTGGGAGGGTGCCTTTATTGTTACATAATGATATTGATTATACTATATATGTGGTAGCATTGCCAACAATATATTATTTAATAAACAGAGATTTCGTGTTCTCTGTTTATTAGCTTCCCAATGAACAACATCCTATTATTTCAAATTAAACTATTGAAAAAAATAAAGGTTAAGTGCCCTTTTAAGTAAGCATTTGACTTGGTTGTTAGCTAAATATGTGCAAGTTGTACTTACATACATCAAATGGCCTCAGACATCAAAGGGGGATACAAGAAACTGAAATGTAAACTTAAAAGTAATAAGACTGTGGTGTGATCTTTCTCTGAAACTGACGCCTATTCTATCTTTAAAATGCAGCTCTATGTGCGCTTGAAAGAAATAAAATGATATAACTGATAAGGCAAATGCAATAACTTAAAAAAAAAGTTAAAGTGCTCTGTGTACAGAAATAGGCGCTGATAAAATAGATGTCCGAAATGCCAATCTAAACGAACATTAATATGGAAATCTCTCCTATCCATCTAAATATTGTAAAATAAGGGGATTGGAAGGTGAAATCCACCACCAATCTCGGAAGTGGAGCGCTATTCAAAATACACTCACCCTTAGCTTATAACTCAGGGGAAAAAAATGCGTCCAATATAAACATGAGGAGAAAAAATAGAGAGAAACATCTAATGGTGAACTATGTATAGTACTTAAGAGGAAAAGGATAAATATATAAAAAAACAAACTCACAAAAATAGAGCCAAGGATAGGACTGGCTCAAATCACAGCCACTTTGGTGTATTTAGGTGACACATTTCCCTCTTCTGGTTTCTTCTCATAAGCTTAAAATAAAGCACAGAGAATTGCTTCTAGTGTAATATATATAGCATAAGGTGGAAATAAATAGATAAAATGAATATTGCTCCCCTTTACATACTGCACCATTAGATGTGTCTGTCCATTTTTTCTCCTCATGTTTATATTGGGCACATTTTTTCCCCCTGAGTTATAAGCTAAGGGTGAGTGTATTTTGAACAGTGCTCTACATAGGAGATTGGTGGTGGATTTTACCTTCCAATCCCCTTATTTTGCAATAACGTATGACTAACTATGGTAACCATGCACCCCTATAGTCCAGATTTTGTAGGGACAGTCCCCAATTTTGCGGCCCTGTAATGTAACTTTAGTTCTCTGGTGTGTTGAATCTGGGGACACTAGGAAACTGTCATTAAATGAGCTTGTGCTGTGTACGAACACTTGGACCGCGCAGAGTGCACTTCAGGAGTGCTCTCCCCCTTTTGTTCTCCAGTGCCCCGCCCATTTTGGGTGTTGCCATTGATGTCCTAATCTGCATACCTCCCAATGAGTTATGGGTAGCTCAGGTAATGCTGGCTGGTCATGACAAAAGTAATCCTTAAAGTGTGCTGTTTCAAACTGGCTTAACCTCATGGGAAATGCCATGAATGGGTCGAGTATCAGGAGGAATATCAATTAATTTTTTTTTCTAACTTCTATAAACATGTTTATTTAAAGGGAATTTTAAAACTGAGTCTAAAATAGCTGGACTGAACACATAACTGATGATGATATAGAGTCTTCGGATGACCTGCCATCAGCCATCTTGTTTGCTGACAGCCATCTTGTAACCTATAAACTGCTTTTCTAAGCTAAAGTACCACAGACAGAAAGGGGGATTGTCAAGTATGCAGGCCTCAAAGGGGCCCTCTCTCAAATAAAGTAATAGGTACGGAGAAGTTAGGAGTCAGAACTTCCCTTTTAGCTGTCTGTGTCTTTAAACTGCTAAATCACTGACCATACCAAGAAACGCATGGTGGTCTGGAACAATATTTTTCCTTTTTCTCATATATAAATATATATATGACTTTGGAAAGAATGGCAGAGCAGGTAAAATCTACATCTGCTTTATTGTACTGTTAAATAGGTGAGAGCTTCACAATTCTCTTTAAACGGATATAAAATACCTAAAATATCATGCTCCACAAAATCTTGTCATTGTTGAAAATTAACCAGTACAACTTGTGGTCAGTAAGTCATTTAAATTAACTAATACAGGTTGTGGACAGAAAGAAATTTAAATTAACTAATACAGAGTGTGGTCAGAAAGTAATTTAAATTAACTAATACAGCTTGTGGTCAGAAAGTAATTTAAATTAACTAATACAGCTTGTGGTCAGAAAGTAATTTAAATTAAATAATACAGCGTGTGGTCAGAAAGTACGTTAACGATAACAAAGTAAAACTTAATGAACACTTATGGATTTAACAAAGAAATATGTGCTTGAGTTTACTGCAAGAATCTGCCAATGGAAAGGGGAATTGGCCTGGAATTAAGATAGATTGTTGAACTGTTTCTTAACAAAACCTATATCACAATATATAGGTTTATATTTATGTTTTAGACTTCATATATTTGTGTTTTAGACTCCAATTTAGCATATATTAACTGGTGTCTCCTACAGTGTATCTGTCACCTTTCAGTATTTCCTAAAATATAATCTTATGAAACACTTATTAAGACTGTGTTTGAATTTCATTGAATTTACAACGCAACCAAAAGATACTATAAGACAAAGTAGGAACTAGTTTGTCTTATGGTAAAGCCTGAGGTTGACAAAAGGCAGAGCTCCTCTGTCAACCTTTGCCAAATGATGGCTGTGTGATTCAGGCTTTGACTATGGAGGATCCCGCGGTTTTGCATGAGCAAGTGTACAGCACTGACATGCAGTGGCGAAACTACCACGTTTGCAGGGGTCGTAGCTGCGACTGGGCCCGCTGTGGACCCCTGCGACTGGGTGCCCAACGTCATGTATTGCGGCCCCAGCCCGGGCGGGATAACCGCCGGGGCCACACATCCTGGGTCCTATCAGGTGGCCCATGCTGTTAGGGCCATTCTATGGCAAAGTATTACCAGGGGGCCCAGTCAGCGTTGCTGTACTTTAACAGCGCGACCGAGCCCCATGTGATGACATCAGAGCTGGGAGGAAGTGACTGCCCCGGTCACTCCTCCCAGCTTACACACACCTTCTCCGGGAGTAAGGAGAGTAGGGAGTCAGCCTGAGCCACCACTGGACCCCAGGGAAGTCACCCTCCTGCATTTAAAAGGTAGGAAAAAGGAGGGTGACTAATGTATGTGTGTGTGTGTCTGTATGTATTTGTGTGTGTGTCTCTGTATGTATGCGTGTATGTCTCTCTGTGTGTGTGTCTCTGTATGTATCTATGCCTTTGCATGTATGTCTCTGCATGTACGTATGTCTCTGTATGTGTGTATGTATGTCTCTGTATGTATGTGTGTCTCTGTATTCATGTGTGTCTCTGTATGCGTGTGTGTGTGTCTCTGTATGTGTGTCTGCATTTACATATGTATCTTTGTGTTAGTTTGTGTGTCTGCATTTGCATGTGTGTCAGTGTGTGTATGTGTATCAGCATGTGTGTCTGTGTATGTATCTGTATGTGTTATATGGTATGTATCTGCACGTATGTCAGTGTATGCACGGGTGTGTCTGTGTAACTTTCACCCCACCACACACACTGTCACCCCTCTTCACCCTGCCACACTCACAATAACTCTACCAATCCTGTCACTCACCCATGCCACACTCACCACCCATCGCTCTACCATATTCACCCTATTACACTCACCTTCTCTCCCACTGTCACACTCACCCACCCCAATCCTGTCACACTCTTTCTTCATCACTGTGTCGCACTCACCCTCATTAACCGCTCCGATTCTGTCATACTCAATCCACCAACTATGCCACACTAACCGTGTGGGCATGAATGAGACACATGTAGGAGCCAAAGGGCAGGGGGGGGGGGGGTTGAGATGTATGGGGGCCCATTGGTTTCCAGTTACATGTCTGCTGACATGGCAACTGTCAACTAAAGCGGCGGGAGCCAAAGATGACCTGCAGAATGAAGATGGTGGTGGCCAGGAGATACAGCCTGAGGTCAATAAAACTCACCACCAATGCACCCCGCAGCCATCAGACCTACACCAGATCTATCAGCTTCGACGGTCTTTAAAAAGTAAAATGTTTATTCAGTCATATGCAATGGAAATTAATTTAAATGAAATAATCGATTTCTTCATCCTTGAATGTTTATATTCTGCTGTTAGTGTTTATTTCTGTGATTAGGATAGATTCTTCAGCCGTGTTAGCATCAGGTTCAGAGCGATGCATTTTCTGGAGACACGGGTTTCCAAAAAAGACAGGCTTGTTCCCCTTCAGCAGGTACCATAAAAATATTAAAAGGATAAGTAGGATTACGAGGGACATGACAACAGCTGGAATGATGACATGATGGGTTCCTGAAGACAAACAGAAAATACATAGAGATGTTATTCTCCAGTTGTTTAAGAAGAAATAATAACCTTGATTTACTATTTTTGACTGTGCTTTTGCAAATGATTCCATATTAAAAAAAATATTAGTTTTTAAGCTTTTACAATTACTTAATATTATGAAAATTATTTTAATATTTCAGTATTTATATAACTATATAAAAAATATATATTTATATTTATATTTTATATATTTGCTATTTTAATATTTTGAAGAAAAAAAAACATTCTAAAAGTTTATCCAAAAATATTAACTCAAGGTGTATATTAGAAAAAAGAAGTTATGTGATTGTTGTAAATTGTGTAAAATAGCAACATAACAGAAACTGTTAATGGTTAGATAAGTAGAATGCATTCCCAGAGGCTGGTACAACATTCAGTATGGTGTGTATTTACTGAACAGTACATTATGCAATGTTGAATTTAGAGCTTTGCAGGCCAACACTAGAAGGTTTGGGCCTAATTAGAGAAAGTGAATTTACTGAATAGGAGAAACTGAATTTACATTTCAATTGTTATGGATTATACAGTTGCAAGGAAAAGGATGTGAACCCTTTAGAATGATATGGATTTCTGCACAAATTGGTCATAAAATGTGATCTGATCATCTTCTTAGTCACAACAATAGACAATCACAGTCTGCTTAAACTAATAACACACAAAGAATTAAATGTTGCCATATTTTTATTGAACACACCATGTAAACATTCACAGTGCAGGTGGAAAAGGTATGTTAACCCCTAGACTAATGACATCTCCAAGAGCTAATTGGAGTGAGATGTCAGCCAACTGGAGTCCAATCAATGAGATGAGATTGGAGTTGTTGGTTACAGCTGCCCTGCCCTATAAAAAAAAACACCAGTTCTGGGTTTGCTTTTCACAAGAAGCATTGCCTGATGTGAATGATGCCTCACACAAAAGAGCTCTCAGAAGACCTACGATTAAGAATTGGTGACTTGTATAAAGATGGAAAGGGTTATAAAAGTATCTCCAAAAGCCTTGCTGTTCATCAGTCCACGGTAAACAAATTGTCTATAAATGGAGAAAGTTCAGCACTGCTGCTAAAGACTTACAAAAGTCACTGACAAATGCTAACATCCCTGTTAGCGAATCTACAATACGTAAAACACTAAACAAGAATGGATTTCATGGGAGGATACCACAGAGGAAGCCACTGCTGTCCAAACAAAACATTGCTGCACGTTTACAGTTTGTACAAGAGCACCTGGATGTTCCACAGCAGTACTGGCAAAATATTCTGTGGACAGATGAAACCAAAGTTGAATTGTTTGGAAGAAACACACAACACTATGTGTAGCGAAAAAAAGGCACAGCACACCAACATCAAAACCTCATCCCAACTGTGAAGTATGGTGGTGGGGGCATCATGGTTTGGGGCTGCTTTGCTGCGTCAGGGCCTGGACGGATTGCTATCATCGAAGGAAAAATGAATTCCCAAGTTTATCAAGACATTTTGCAGGAGAACTTAAGGCCATCTGTCTACCAGCTGAAGCTCAACAGAAGATGGGTGTTGCAACAGGACAATGACCCAAAGCATAGAAGTAAATCAACAACAGAATGGCTTAAACAGAAGAAAATACGCCTTCTGAAGTGGCCCAGTCAGAGTCCTGACCTCAACCCGATTGAGATGCTGTGGCATGACCTCAAGAAAGCGATTCACACCAGACATCCCAAGAATATTGCTGAACTGAAACAGTTCTGTAAAGAGGAATGGTCAAGAATTACTCCAGACCGTTGTGCACGTCTGATCTGCAACTACAGGAAACGTTTGGTTGAAGTTATTGCTGCCAAAGTAGGTTCAACCAGTTATTAAATCCAAGGGTTCACATACTTTTTCCACCTGCACTGTGAATGTTTACATGGTGTGTTCAATAAAAACATGGCAACATTTCATTCTTTGTGTGTTATTAGTTTAAGCAGACTGTGATTGTCTATTGTTGTGACTTAGATGATGATCAGATCACATTTTATGACCAATTTGTGCAGAAATCCATATCATTCCAAAGGGTTCACATACATTTTCTTGCAACTGTATATGTGACACACCTAAACTGAATTCTCCGTCTTTTGTGCTTGCAATGTTATTTATCTTACTTTAAGTCTACAAACATAACAGGAAACACAGCCACCATGCACAGTACAGGTTGAATAATATGCAATAATAAGAAAACAATTCATAAATTAAAATAAATTATTTCAATACATAATGAGCAGAGTGTGACAGCTGTGCCCCTAGGAACCATAGGGTCTCTGTACAAGAATCAAAGAAGAGCCCCACTTGTCACCCTTCCTGCTCCTCCCTAAGCAATTCATGTGAATGGGATGTGTGTACTACTGACTATGTGTTGATTGTGGTGGTTGGCTGGGTGTGATATGTATGTGTGTAATTGGCTGAGTGTGTGTGTGGCTGGATGAATCTGAATATCTGTGAGGGCTGGCTGAGTGTTATTGTTTGTGAATTTCTGGTGATCCAGTGGGATTTTCCCCATAACTGCTCCACAGCACACATCAATCAAGGCTCACACCATGGGGCTGGGCTAGCGGAGGACAATTGGGAGACCTGAATGAGGAGTAGGAGGCTAAATCAGGCAGAAGCCAAGTGGCAGTGGCCCGATTGACTCCTTTGAGAGCTGTACCTCTGTGTCCAAATAAGGAAAAAAGGAAATAAGAAGCAGCAAATCAGCTGAATTGAGTGAAACTAATTTTTGACTTAAACATTGTCATCCTTTTAAGCACATGCATTCTCACTGACCCATACATGCAGTTGTTGGTACACACAGAGCCGGATTAACATAGGGGCTGATGGAGCTGCAGCTCCAGGCCCAGGCCCAGGCCCATGGAATAGGTCCATTGATTCATTAAAAAAAAAAAAAAAATTTTTTTTTTACATTTTTTTTTTCACACACTACTCTTAGGGATTCCACCTGGCTTTTATTTTATTGGCACAGCCAGTATTTGAGGCTGCCTGGCTGGTGCCAATATTACAGTGATACTGGCAATACAAATGCTGGTATTTTTCTCAGTATAAACAAGAGATTACTATGCAATACCAGCACTGGCCAGTAGGGGTCGCTGTGTGTGGAGACAGGCAGGGATAGGAAGTTCCAGCATATCCCTCCCTGCCTATCTATACTCACTGATCTGCAGGGGTGCAGCTACAGAGAGTCCAGACAGCAACTCCCACCCTGCAGAGACAGCCTACAGCTCAGGGAAGTAAGGGATGGGGGGAAAGGCTGCAAGGAGACATGGGGACACTGAGACACTAAGGGACATTGGGAGACATTATGACACAGACACATGGAGGACACAGTGTCCCCCATGTCTCCCAGTGCCCCCAGTCTGCCAGTGTCTCACTGTCCCCATGTCTCCTAGTGCCTCCATGTCTCCCAGTGCCTCAAGTGTCTCAATGTCCCCATGTCTCCAAGCTAGTGTCCCTGGTGTCTGTGGCCCTGGTGTCTCCTTGTCCCCATGTCTCCCAGTGCCCCCATGTCTCAATGTCCCCATGTCCCCCAGCCAGTGTCTCTAGTGTCTGTGTCCCGGGTGTCTGTGTCCCCATGTCTTCAAGTGTCCCCTATTTTCCTAGTGTCCCCATGCGTCCCAGCCCGAGTCCCCTAGTCTCCCAGTGTCACTGGTGTCTCCGTGTCCCTAGGTCTCCCCGTGTCCCCAGGTCTTCCTGTCTTCCTAGTGACATGGGGACACTGTGATACATAGGATCACTGGGAGACCTTGGGACACGACACTAGGGGACACGGGGAGACATGGGGCACTGAGACACTGATACATAGGAACACTGAGACCTGGAGTAATCGACACATGGGGGCACTGGGAGACATGGGGCCACTGGGAGGAATCCATCTATACAGCAGAATCAAACTAAGTAGTTTTTTGGTGATTTTACAGCATTTTCTCTTATGTCACTCCTTGTGATTTACATCATGTGATGTCACCCATACATATTTAATTATGCAAATTAGCAAGGCCGGTATGTTTTTCCAAGAAAGGTGGCAACCCTAACTACTTTTCACATACTCTTACTTAAGTATGGAAACTTAAGAGGGATGTATGGGAACAAAACTTGTGTGGACTGGCTGACAATGAATATAGTTAAAGGGACACTAGAGTCACCAGAACAACTACAGCTTATCAGAGAAAATGCAGTCTTTACATTACAGCATAGTGATAGCCCACTGGCCACTCCTTAGATGGCTGTTAGAGATCCTTCCTGGGTCATGGCTGCCTAAAATGCATCCAAACATT